CAAGAGACACCCGCCGCGGTGAGGGTGGCCAACACGGGCCTTCGGCCAGCCACGCGGCACGGCCTCAGCGCGGCTGGCTGGCCCTCGCCGCAGCCCGCAAAGGTTCGGAGGCAGGTGGGCGCCGTGCACCGCGGCAAGGGTCCTGGCAAGAGTCCTAGCCTCAGCTCCCCCCTCAGCAAGCGCCTGGCTAGCGACTGGCTCCAGGACCACGTCTCGCTGCCCATCGTGGCGCGGGCCAAGGCCGCGCAGTTCAACTCGGACCGCGCCGGCCCGCGGGCCCTCGGCAGCGCGCTCGCGGGGGCCTCGGCGCGCAAAGAGGAGGAGGGCATAGAGGCGGGCCAAGGGCCTGCATCGGCACGCGCGCCGGCGCGCAGCCGCTTGGGCTGGTCCGCCGCTCGACCAAGTCCCCCCCTCAACGACCTGCAGCAGCGCGTGGACCTGAAGACCCAGGGCCCGTCTACACTGACCATGCGCATTGCTGCGCGCCACGAGCGGCTCCCGTGGCGGGGCGCGGCCGAGCGCCCTGGCCTCGAGCACCTGGCGAGATGGGGCGCGCTCTCCAGCGTGAGGCGCGTCCTGCGCCGCGAGAGGATGAGCGCGCAGACGGCCAGGCAGATGATCTCGGCCAAGAACGCGCTGGTAGGATGTCTCTCTGGCCAGTTGCTCGGCGCTTCGAGGCCGAGCGTTCGCTAGCGTCGTCGCATCGGTACCCCCGATGGTGTCAGGCACGCGGCGCCGCATGGCACATGGCCCGGCAGCACCCCGCCACGGCGCTCGGCCGCGCCGAATGGGAGGCCAACGACGACGGCGACGAGAGACGACCGCCAGACGACATCCACTTCAGGACCATCGTTGACATGGCCAGCACGAACGAGACCGCGGACCCCCTGCGGTCGCGGGCGCTCGCACCAGGGCGCAGGAGGACTCCCCCACCGCCCGCGGAGGGGGGGGCGGCTCTCAAGGAGGGCCGCGGCGACCTGGCGGGGCACCCCCTCATGGGCGACCTGTTCACGGACGGCGGCGTCCTGGACCCGAGCATGGTCTCTGCTCGCGGCGGCTCGGCAGTGGCCGTGATCGGCCAGGACGCGGGCGCCGCCGGCATTTTCGGCCCGCTGCCCTGGCCCTGCCCTCAGGAGTCGGGCGCGGCGGAGCTGGCCGCCGCCATCGAAGGGCTCCAAAACTGCGCGCCCCCTTATCAAAATCTTTACGGGTTGCCAGCTGCTCGTGGACGGCTTCGACGCGGGCGAGACGTGGTGGCTCCAGTGGCCGAGGCCCCACAAGGAGCTCAGGGCGCGCCCGCGGGCGGTGATCTAGGACATCGGCATCGACAACATCACCGCCCACAAGGCGAAGGCCCACGCGACGATGGCGGACGCGCAGGCCGAGCGCATCACCGCGCGGCAGCGGCGGGGCAACCACCGCGCCGACGCGCGCGCCAGTCAGGGCGCGCAGCTGCACCCTTCGGACGAGGCTGTCCGCGCTCGCAGCCTGCGCCAGGATCGCCTAGTCAGGAAGGTCTTTCGCTGGCTGGGAGCTGCCATGCAGGAAGGCGACGCCGAGCTGACGGCGGAGGACGGCCACGACGGCCCAGGCATGGCAGCAGCGCGGTGCGGCTGGCGCGGATGCACGCTGCGCTGGAGTCGCCACTGCAGCTTCCGCGATTGCCCAAGGAGGGCGCGCGGTCGGCACGGCGATCTCGGGCCCGTGGACCTCGGGCGCAGCAGGCGCCTCGGGCTCCGTCGCAGCGGCCGCGGCGATCCTCACCGCGAGCGCCGCGCTCCTCTCCGGCCAGGCCAGTGGCCCGCACGGAGCTGCATCAGATGATGGCGAACGCCGCGACGGCGGCGGCGGCGGCGCCTCGGCCGGCAGCTGCGGCGCGGCCGCGGAGGCGCGAGATCAGCCTGCCGCGCAACCGCCGCCCCCGCCCCCACCCGCTCTTCCACCGCGGCGGGGGCTCGACCCGCACGACCCCCACGAGATATGGCGCGAAGGCAACCACCTCTTCTGCGCCAACTGCGGCTACTAAACGCAGAGTGGCAGGATGGCAGGCCCCGCGAAGGAGCGCCCCAAGGCCCCCAAGCACGACAGGCAGAAGGTGGCCCTCAGCCGCCTCTAGCGAGGGCTGCAGCCAGCGGGGCAGGGCAGCGTCGGTGACCCTGAGCCCTTGCGCCGCATGCGCAGGCGGATGGACGACTAGCCAGCCTTGCCTATCTAGGGCCAAAACCATGTGCGTAGGTTCGCTCACGCACGGGTCGGGCCCGATGCCGATGGCAATGCAACAAGTCCAAGCGTGAGGCCTGGTCCATCAGGATAGTTGCGCTGCTGTCGGCTGGGTCGCTTCGACGTTGCCCGAAGTTTGCTTCTCACGCGTGCATGGCCTAGGCTCGATGAGCGCGCTCAGTTGCCAGCAGCGTGCAGCGGAGGCTAAATCAGGTGTGTAGGTTCGCCCACGCGCGGGATCGGGCTCCGGTGCCAGCGGTACCGCAACCAGTCCAGCAGAGGCCAGGGCCAAAGGACGGGATGCGATGCTGCGGGCACTCTCTCTCTCTCTCTCTCTGTCCCTCTGTCCCTCCTTTCTAGCAGCATGGTTCCATGCTCGGTGCTGCCCTCGACCGCAGCTTCGGCTGCCTCAGCGCCCGGCGCGCGCTTGCACTGCCTGGCTCGACCTGTCTGGCGCGAAGCGCCATTTCATATCAGCAGCACGACCGTGTTCTGTGCTGCACCTCACTGGCAGCATCAGGCTGCCCGTTTCACTGCCGCGATGCGCGCCTTCCGCGCAGCTCTGCCCTGAACGGTAGCTTCGGAGGCTGACCCAGGAGTGGAGGTTCGCCCTCACTCGGGATCGGGCTCCGCACCATTGCCCATGCAGCCAATCCGTCTCTGTGGCCAGGAGCCGAATTGACGGGTTGCTCTGCTGATGGGGGGTGCAGTGGAGCGCGAACTTTCGCTTCGGAACGCTAGCACGCCGTCCGTTCAATGTAGCTTCTGGCGCGCCGCGTGCGACAACTGCCCGCGCGTCTGTCGACGTGGAGGGCGACCCGAGAGCGTAGGTTCGCCCATGATCTGGTTGGAACCCCACAGGACTGAGAAACCGCGTCAGTCTGCGCGGCCTGGAGCCTTGGACCCGGTGGCTTCTCAGGTGCGGTGAACGACAATGCTGTGTACCAGCCCGCTTGACCGCGCAGCGTGGCCTATGCTAGCTGCTGCGCGGGCTGAGTCGCCCCGACTGCTGGGATCGGTCATCCACTTGCCTCGGCCGAGGCCGCCGATTGCTCTCGGCACTCGAACGAATCTGCGAGCGTGCGCCGAGGCGCGCGTGACCGAGCGTTGCCGCAACAGGGCCAAAAGGACACGCCTCGGTCCAAGGGGCAGCACGAGCTAGGAGCTCCTGACGCCTTCAAACAAGGGGACCATCATCATCATCATCATCATCATCATCATCATCATCATCAGCATCATCAGCATCATAACCATCATCATCAGCAGCATCACCAGCAGCAGCATCCCTACCATCATCAGCATCATCAACAGCGGCATCGGCATCAGCATCAGCATCATCATCATAATCACCATCGTCAGCATCAACATCATCATCATCATCATCGTCGTTATCGTCATCAAAATCATCATCGTCATCGTCATCATCATCACCGTCACCATCATCACCACCATGACCACCATAATCATGATCATCGTCATCGTCATCGCCACCGTCATCAGCATCACCATCATCAACAACATCAGCATCAACACCAGTATCAACATCATCTCCATCACTATCATCATCACCATCACCATCATCATCATCATCATCCTCATCATCATCATCATCATCATCATCATCATCATCATACTCATACTCATACTCATACTCATCCACAGCATCATCGGCAACATCACAATCATCATCATCAGCACTATTATCATCACCATGCTCATCATCATCAGCATCATCATCAGCATCATCATCGCATCGGCACCGTCATTGTCGACATCAGCAGCGTCAGTATCATCAAAATCATCAGCAGCATCAGCATCATTATTAGCATTATCATCGTCGTCATCATCGTCACAAGCACCACCAGCATCATCATCGTGTCCGTCGTCGTCGTGATCAGAATCATCATCAGCATCACCATCATCGTCGGCATCAGCATCGTCATCATCGGCGTGGTCGTCATCATCGCCATCCTCATGATAATCGTTACAATCATCAGCAGCAGGATCAACGGTATGCATCGTCGTCATTGTCACAACCATCGTCGTCGTCAGCATCGTCATCATCATTATAAGTCTCAACATCATCATGACCACCCTCCACAACCATCATCGTCGTCAGAATCATAGTCCGTCCTCATCATCGTCATCATCGTCGTCATCACAATGAGCATCGTCATCAGCATCGCGATCGTCATCGTCGCTACCATCATCACCATCAGCATCGTCATCGTCACAACCATCATCTTCATTACCATTGTCAGTATCAGCATCATCATCATCATCATCATCATCATCATCATCATCATCATCATCATCTTCGTCATCACCAGCATCGTACGCAGCATCATCCTCATCATCACCATCGTCGTCACCGTCATCGTCCTTATCATCAACCGAGCAGCGGCCATCGTCATTATCGTGAGTATTCTCGCCATCATCTTCGTCATTATCATCACCTTCATAACCACCAGCAGTTTCATCATACTCGCCATCACAACCATCAGCACCAACAGGAGCATCAACATCATCATCGTCATCATCCTCAGCATCGGTGTCGTCGTCATCATCATTACCATCATCATCGTCATCATCAAGATCACCACCACAATCATCATCAACGTCCTCGCGCTCGTTTTCGTCCACATCTTTGACGTCATCCTCGCCGCCACCGCCGTCCTCGTCGTCGTCGCCGCCGCCGCCATTACCATCCTCATCATCGTTATCCTCAAGGCGGTCGGCAAGGCAACTGGCAGCGACCCCACCCCACTCGGGAGCCCCGCCAATAGCTCGGGTTCGATCTTCTCGGCGAGCACAAGCGCCAGCTGCTGCACGGCGATCTGCACCTTCTCTGCGTTGATGACCCCCTCCCTCTTCCCCAGTCTCCGTTACTTCCTCCTCCTTCACCTCCTCTCCCTCCTCGTTCCTCCTCCTCCTCCTCCTCCTGTTCCTCCTTCTCCTCTTCCTCCTCCTCCTCCTCCTTTTCCTCCTTTCCCTCCTTTGCCTCCACCTTTTCCTCCTCGTCCTCCTCCTCCTCCTCTTCCTCTGGTGGCCGGGACCTACCCGCAAAACGCCACCCAAGGGCCGACCGGCTGCACCGCAACGCTTGGCAGAGCCGGGCCGTTTTGTGGTCGCTCGAATCGGGATTGGATGCGCTTGCCCCTGCGTCCACCTTCCCTTTCCTCCTGCCCGTCCTCCTCCGAATGTCGCATGGCCAAAAGAAGCCGAATCGCTCAGCATCCTTGTTTCCCTGTGCGCTGAAACTGGCGCCACCCGCCCGGGGACCTTTTCTGCCCACGCGGTTGTGGCGCGTCGTGGGACGGGAACGAGGGGGAGACAGGGGTGGGAGGAGGGGGAGGAGTCGCGAACCCATAGGACGACGCGCCGAGTTCAATTCGGGAAGGGCAGGAACGGTGGGAAAAAACGATCGAGCGCAATCGAGCACAGAAATCCAGCGAGCCCCAGGACACTGCTAGCCCAGCCGAAGCTTCACGGCAGTGACAGGAGGTCGCACGAAGAGAGCCCGGAATCGGCCAAGCCGACCTCCCAACACACGAAACGAGCTTCGAAGGAAAACTCGAGAGATATGGATAAGATGGACAGAAGGCCCAGCTACTGGACAGCATCGCCCGTGACCAACAGCCGGGAGGGGGAAGGGGGGGAACGGCCTCTTTTAGGGTGGACGCCCTTCATGAAATTACCCCTCCTCCACTTACGTTGGGGATTCCCCTACAAAAAGGCAGCCGCGTGATCACAAGTCCAGAAGAGCTGTGTGCGTGCCAACTTGGCCGGGAATGCCCCGCATCTACTACATCCCACGACGTCCCCAGAAATATGCAAAACATGCCCTCTCGCCGAACAGAGCGGGACCTCCCCGTCCTCGGCAGGGGCTGCATGGGAAGGTCCGGGTCCGCCAGCGATGGCGGGGTGCCTCTCGCGGCCCGCTTCGCGCCTCGCACCGCCGCCACCAAGACCGCACCCGCGAGGGCCTCCTGAGGGTCCGCGGGAGCTCTCGAGGCCTCCGAAAAACGCACCCGCTTTCGCGGCACGAAAGAGTAGCAGGAGCGAAGCGGGGATCGACTCCAGAAGGACTGGTGGGGCTTGGTGGGGGGTTGGCCGAGAGGACGCGCCTCTACAGCCCCAGGACAACAGGAAGTCGAGGAGGGGAGGTCGCTCGACGAAGTCGGAGGCGAAGGAGGAGGGGTGGCCCGAAGCGTAATCCTGTGAGGCCATAATTCATTTTTTTGCTGCTGCTCCTCCTGCCCCCCGTCGTCCTCCAAACGGCGTCGCGACACTCTCCCCGCCCCCTGCATTGCGTCACCTTCCGAATTTCGGGTCGCCCTCGGGTCAGGCCCAAGCAGCTCGCTGGGGCCCCCCAGGGCCGATCGCCCCAGGCCACGAGACTTGGTGGCCCTCTCGGTCTCCAGGCCCCCCTCCCTCGGACGCTTTCTCGGCCCCAGGACCTGAGGCACGGCCCACGTCGGGGCGGGTCTGGCAGCGGCCCCGGCGGAACCGCTCCAGACCCACCAGGGAGCGAGACGAGCGGGCGCAGTGGGCACATCGCCAGCCGTGTTTGCCACGAACAGGAACGTGTTTCACCCTCACGTCGGCCTCCTCTCGAGGCTTGATCAGGCGCGCGGTTGTGCCGCCGCCTTCAAGAGCTGCCCCCGCGTCGCGACGGGTGGCAGCACGGCCGCGGCGCCCTGGGGTGGCCACCCTGTCCGCCGGCCTCGCCTCCAGGTTGGCCTGGCCGTTGCCGATCCAGACCGCCACCTGGCGCAACTCCTCCAGGAGCTCGGCGTGGCGGCGTGGCGCTCGTACGCGGCCGTGGGCACCCCGTGGATCGCCAGGCCATTCTTCGCCGTCATTTCCGCGCAATCGTTGCCGATATTGTGGGGCGATCCGCCCGACTCCGAGCCTGTCTGGTGGCCTTTGATCCATGTGACGTTGGCGCCACAGGTCCACGTTCTCCCTGCGCGGGTGCGCGGTGCGCCTCTTCCTCTGCTCGAGGCCCTCCAATATGCGCAAGCAGCCCGCGTTGACCTTCATGGGGGTCTGGCCATGCTTCAGCGCCTGGATGATCGCGCACAACTCGCCTCGCAGCGATGCCTGCTGGGGGCCAGGCAGTCAGTGGCCCACATGCCATGCCAAGTAGCCGCTGCCCGCTCATCACCGCGATGCCCCAGCCCGCTCGATTCGCTTCTGGCCAGTGACATGAACACTTGGCCGATCCATCGGTGAAGATCACCCCCGTGATGGTCATGGGAGGCGGATCCAGCCGTTGTCGCGAGGGTCGGGGCGTGTGAGCGCACGCGGGCGGCGGCAGCATCGGTGAATCGGGTACAAGTTCGCCGAATGCAGCCGTTAGAGAAGCAACGCTGACTTCTCCTGAAACGGAGGAAAAACGGTATCACGGATTCTCTCGGCGTCTCCATGGAGCCGTCGCGAACGCGCGCCGTCGAGGAGAGACCGCACGCTTACAGGCACCGCGACCGAAGGTTGCAGCGCCAAGCGGCGGAGTCCACGATGACGCGAACTGCGACAGCGAAGAGCGTAAAGGAATCGGCTGACAACCTGTGTGTATAGGGAGACGGCCGAAGGGCCGTTCCTATACGGGGTCCGTAACAAGAGGCGAGGAGTAGGACTCCTCTTTCCAGGGCACTGCGCAGGGACCAGTGCTCGGTCAGTATTATGCCAATACCTGAGCCGATACATGTGCGGCCTGTGAGGGTATAAAATGGAGATGTGAGCGGGCTTCACGCACAGAGGAGAGCAGGGGGAGGCGGAGGGAGAAGAGAGGCAGGGAGTCCACAGGTGTTGAGGTTTTGAAATGCAATTCGGTGGTGGGGCTGCTGTTTGACACCTTCTGGAAACGACGGGCACTCGCGCGGGCGACCGTGGACGCCGTGAGGCCGCGTCTCGAAGCCTGAGGTCGGTGAGGCGGGGGTAGGCATTGCGATGTCCGCCACGGCGTTTGCAGCGGTTGGTGTGCGTCGGGCCCTTTCACCATTAAGGAAGCGCCAGTGAAAGCCCCCCGACGCATCGAGCCCAAGATGCGCTCACTGTTGTGACCAAGTCCCTGCGTGCTTGGACTTTCGGGCCGAAAATGGTCCCCAATACCAATACAAGAACCTGGGGAAGGGGGGATGCGTGGCCCCTCCCACCATCCCGCCCCCCCCAAAGCCTCCCCCCCCGCACCCGCTCGAACGCGGTGGCGGAATCGCGCGGCAGCGCAATTGGATCAATGATGGTTCACATGAGTCGCATGACGCGTGCAGTCGCACGTGAGAATTGCTTTGAATGTCGATGCTTATGTGTGCATCGACGTGCACTCCGATCCAATTGGAGTTGCATTTCGATGTGCACTCCGATTGCCAGTTTATGTACATTCCGACTTGAATTTTCCACGGGGCAACTGGCGCGACAACCAAGGGACAACCCGCGGGGCAGCCAACGGGACAACCCGCAAGACGAGCCACGGGACAACCCACGAGACAACCCACGGGACAACCCACGCGACAGCCCAGGGGACACCCAAGGGGAAAACCCACGGGACAGCCCACGGAACAACCCGAGGGAAACCCCCGTGGGACAGCCAGGGCGGGCCATCCTCGGACTGGGACGAAAACTGGCTACGCCGAGCTGGGGCGACGCCCTGGCTACACCGACACGTCGTCGCCCCCACGTAGCTCCGTCTAGAAGGCGCGCACGACACGAATCGAAACCAAAATTGATGTCCCAGTTGGTGGCCACTTCGTGACGACGTGACCTCAGATCTGACATCACGAAGAAGTTGCAATATCGTACAAGAAAGTCGCCCGGAGCCCTGCACCCCATCTTTCGACATGATTCTAGCCGGATCGATCCGCAAAAACCCAGTGGTCCGAGACACGGCGAATCGCGACGCCACGATCTCAAGGTTCGTCCTCACCACCCAGCCTCCGATGGGCAGAGCGTGGAGACCCTACGGTTCTCCTTATCCCCACCATCCCCCTCCATAACCGCAGCCAGTATCATCATCATCATCATCATCATCATCATCATCATCATCATCATCATCATCATCATCATCATCACCATCACCATCACCATCACCATCACCATCACCATCACCATCATCATCATCATCAGCAGCATCATCATCATCATCATCATCATCATCTTCATCATCATCATCATCATCCCATCATCATCATCATCATCACCACCATCATCATCACCATCATCATCATCATCATCCTCATCATCATCATCATCATCATCATCAGCATCATCATCATCATCATCATCATCATTTTCATGACCATCACCATCACTATCATCAGCACCACTATCATCATCATCATCATCAGCATCATCATCATCAATCATAATCATCAGCATCATCATCATAGTCACCATCAGCATCATCATCAGCATCGCCATCAGCATCACCATGATCATCATCATCATCATCATCATCATCATCATCATCATCACTATCATCCCCACCATCATCAGCAGCAATAGATTGTCATCATCACCATCATCATCACCACCGTCAGCAACAGCATCCTTTCCTTCGTCTTCCTTGTTCTCCTCCTCCTCCTACTCTTCCTCCTCCTGCTCCTCCTCCTCCTCCTCCTCCTTACCCTCACCACCAGAATCATCACAGTCATAATCAGCAACAGCAAGATGTGTCGTCTTCCTCTTCCTCATTCTCCTCCTCCGTCTCCTCCTCCTCCGCCTCCTCCTGGTCACCATCATAAGCAGCATCAGCATCATCATCATCACCACCACCGTCATCATCAGCATCATCATCATCATCATCAGCATCATCATCATCAGCATCGTCATCGTCATCGTCAGCTTCATCATCATCATCACCACCATCACTATCATCACCATCATCATCAGCATCGCCATCATCATCATCATCATCATCACCATCACCATCACCATCACCATCACCATCATCATCATCATCATTAGCATCATCATCACGAGTATGTTCAATCTCCTCATCATCCTTGTCCACCTCATCATCATCCTCGTGAGCAGCATTCTCAACATCGTCATCATCATGATCGCAATCGCCATCGACATCTTCATCAGCATCACCGTCATCATCCCCATCAACATCATTAGCATCACCATCATCATCATCAGCATCATCACACTCATTCGCATTATCATCCGCATCATCCTCCTCATCATCATCGTCATCACCAGCATCATCACTAGCACCGTCACCACCATCACTAGCACCAACAGCGTCGCCATCAGCATCAGCATCATCATTATCGTCGGCGTCGTCGTCATCGTCATCGTCATCGTCACCATCATCATCAGTTTCATCATCGGCAGCAGGACCACTATCACTACAGGACTACCCATCATCATCAACACCATCATCATCATCATCATCATCCTGAACATCACCCTCAGCATCACCGTCATCATCACCAACATCAGCATCAGCATCACAAACCTGAACAGACTCAGCATCCTAATCATCATCAGCATCACCGTCATCATCACCATCAGCATCAACAGCATCACCACCATCATCAACGGCATCACCCTCTTCTTCCGCATCCTCATCCTCATCCTCATCCTCATCATCATCATTGAAAACTTCACTGACATCATGACCATCATATTCATCAGCACCATCAACATCGTACTCATCACCAGGATCATCGCCGTCGTCGTCATCGTTCCCATCCCCATCACCACCACCATCATCATAACCACCATCAGCATCAAAATCATCACCATGACAAATATCAGCATCCGCATCAGCATCATCATCGTCAACAGCATCATCATCATCATCATCATCATCATCATCATCATCATCATCATCACCATCACCATCAGCATCAGCATCAGCATCAGTATCAACATCAGCAGCATCATCACCATCATCATCCACCCTCCTGTCTTTCCCCCTCCCCTTCTCCTCCTCCTGATCCTCCTCCTCCCCCTCCTCCACCCTCCTCCTTCCTCATCATTCCTCCCTCCTCCCTCCTCCCTCCATCACTGCTCCTCCCTCCTCCATCCTCCCTGCTCCCTGCTCCTCCCTCCTCTCTCCTCTCTCATCTCTCCTCCTCATCCTCCTCCGCCTCCTCCTCCTGCACCTCATCCTCCTCCGCCTCCTCCTCCTTTCCCCCCCCCCCCTCCCCCCTCCCCTTCCCGCTCCTCTCAATTCTCTCCACTCTCTTCTCCCATCCCTCCTCCTCCTCCTCCTCCTCCTCCTCCTCCTCCTCCTTATCCTCCTCCTCCTTCTCATCGACCTCATCCTCGTCCTCCTCCTCCTCAGCATCCTCCTCCTCCTCTTCCTCCTCCTCCTCATCCTCCTCCTCCTCCTCCTCCTCCTCCTCCTCCTCATCATCATCATCATCATCATCATCATCATCATCATCATCATCATCATCATCGTCGTCGTCGTCGTCATAATCATCATCATCAACATCATCGTCGTCATCATTATCAGCATTATCAACAGCATCATCATCATCATCAACATCATCGTCAGCAGCATCAGCATCAGCATCATCATCATCATCATCATCATCATCATCAGCATCATCATCATCATCATCATCATCATCACCATCACCATCATCATCAGCATCAGCATCAGCATCACCATCCACCCTCCTGTCTTTCCCCCTCCCCTTCTCCCCTGATCCTCCTCCTCCCCCTCCTCCACCCTCCTCCTTCCTCATCATTCCTCCCTCCTCCCTCCTCCCTTCTCCCTCCATCATTGCTCCTCCCTCCTCCATCCTCCCTGCTCCCTGCTCCTCCCTCCTCTCTCCTCTCTCCTCTCTCCTCCTTATACTCCTCCTCCGCCTCCTCCTCCACCTCATCCTCCTCCGCCTCCTCCTCCTCTTCCCCCCCCACCCTCCCCCTCCCCCTCCCCCTCCCCTTCCCGCTTCTCTCAATTCTCTCCACTCTCTTCTCTCATCCCTCCTCCTCCTCCTCCTCCTCCTCCGCCTCCTTCTCCTCCTCCTTCTTATCGACCTCCTCCTCGACCTCCTCCTCCTCCTCAGCATCCTCATCCTCATACTCCTCCTTCTTCTCCTCCTCCTCCTCATCATCATCATCAGCAGCATCATCATCGTCGTCATAATCATCATCAGCATCATCGTCGTCATCATCAGCATCATTATCAACAGTATCATCATCATCATCAGCAGCATCATCATCAGCATCAGCATCATTATCATCATCATCATCATCATCACCATCATCATCATCATCAGCAGCAGCATCATCATCATCAGCATCATCATCGT